AACACACTAAGTTGTGTGTCAGACATGAGTCTAAGTGATTTAAATATATCGTTTCATTTAATGGTCATGTAATCCACTAGTGTCAGAGTTACCTAACTCCAACAGGAGAGATTAAAATCAAGATCACCCCAAAGCTGATTCCTACAAGGTGGAGGTCAGACATCTCTCCACTCTTCCATTTTTTCACCATTTCTGACACCAACTGTACTCCCTGTGGTACTCTCTAGTTTTCTGCTGGGTTCAATAATTCATTGCAATGGGCACCCAGAACTCACAGACCATAGTCATGATTATGTAGTTTATTAGGGAAGTAATAGGCTATGATTTGGGATTAAGATTAACTTGGACAAAACAAGATATAACTCAGGAGACAGATGTAGTTTATAAGCTAGAACAGCTTCCAAGGAAGATAGCTCTCAACTTCTTCTAGGTTGTGATAGCCAATGTCCCTTCTCTGGGGCTATGCCCGCAGGCTGTGCCTCACTTGGGCCTCTGCCACCTGGCCTCACTGGAGCTGCCTTCTGCCCTGCTTTGGCAAGTGTTACAGCTCTTTTGGCTCTGCCCAGAGGAACCCCATTCTGCCAGCAAGCCTCCTGCCTGAAGGTGCTCAGCTTACTTTCCCCATGACTAGGTGTTTTAGTTATCTAGTGCTGCTATTACAGAAATACCCCAAACAGAAATTTATTCTCTCCTAGTTTAAGAGTCTAGAAGTCTAAATTCAGGGTGCCACTTCTAGGGGAAGCCTTTCTATCTCTGTCAGCTCTGGAGGAAGGTCCTTGCCTCCTTTCAACATCTGTGGGTCTGACATTCCTTGGAGATCACCATGTGTCTTGGTATCGATGTTTCCCGGGTCTAGAAGTTTCTCAGCTGAGGGACCCCAAGTCCAACGGACACAGTCTGCTCCAGGCTCTTCTTTCTTGGTGGTACTAAGGCCCCTCCTTCTCTGCTTGCTTCTCTCTCCTTTTATCTTCTGTACTATAAAAGATGATACAGGCCATACCCCCAGGGAAACTCTCCTTTCATTGGATCTGGGCTGTGACCTGGTTAAGGGTGTTGTATCCCACCCTAATTCCCTTATGACTGATTGGCTGATCACATCAGATTACATCATGGAGGATGATTATATCATTGCATGACTGCCAAACCGGTGAGAACCATAGTGCATCCAAGTTGACACATATTTTGGGGGGACACAATTCAATTCATGATAGTCAGCAATCTCATTGCAGTGGTCTTGCACCTGTTCCTTGGTTTCTGCCACTAATTACTGGTGCCACCATTTCTCTGCCACTGGGCTCTGCTGTAGTGACTGCCATTTCTCATTATCTTGTGCCCATGTCCAGTGTTACAACTCTCTCTCTCCTGTTTAGGATGTTCTCTTTGCAGTGCCCCTGAGTCCAAAGGATGCTCTGCTCTAGGCTCTTCTTGAGGGTAGTGAGGTTCCCCTGACCTTCTGTGCAACTGGCCCTTATGCTTATCTACTTCTTGATAAGAATGCACCAAAATGCAAATTGACCAGTCCTCTGGGTGGGCCACAGTCAATTTGTATAGTAATGGACCAATTCCCACAAGGTCAGTTAATCCTAGTGGGTGGTTTTACACACCCTATTTGCATAGTAGACTAACTGATCCCTTGTAAGACTGTGACCCAGCCAATCATTTCTGACGGAATTATAAACCCAAGGCCAGAAGGACCATGTATGAGAAACCTATTGCACTGTAGCTCACAACAACTATGAGTGGATCTACATTTTTAATCCTTTTGGGTATGAACTGGTGAATGGAATTACTGGGTCATATGTTAATTCTTTGTATAATTTGAGGAACTGCCAGATAGTTTCCCAAAGTGGCTACACCATTTTGCACCAGCAGCATTCCAATCTCTCCAAATTCTCAGCAGCATTTGTTATTGGCTGTCTTTTTCATTTTAGTCATGCTAGTAGGTGTGAAGTGGCATCTCCTTGTGGCTTTGATTTATATTTCTTTAATGACTAATAGGAACTCTAGTATCACAGTGACTAAGGCAGCTGACTGCTAACCGGAAGGTTGGGAGTTCAAACCCACCAGCCACTCCGTGGAAGTAAGACTGGGTGTTCTGGTTACTTAGTGCCTCTCTGACAAGAAATATACCACAAATGGGATGGCCTAAACAAACAGGAGTTTATTCTTACAATTTGGGGGCTTTAAGTCCAAGTTCAAAGTGCCAGGCTCAAGGGGCTGTGTGAAAGCCCCTCAACCTTGGGGTCCAGCTCTGCCTGCTGCTCCTGGCCCACTGGAGCTAGAGGCATTTCTTCACTCAGACAGCCTCTGGCTGCTGAGACTGAGAAGTCCCAAGGTTGACAAGTCAAAAGGCATAGTCCCAATGTTACCAAACCACACAGCAGGCCATTGACTTAAGTCCATCCTAAGTCCCAAGGTTGGCAGAGCATAGCAGGCTGCTGAGCAACGACATGGCTACATGCAAGGTCCAAGGGTGCCATAAGCTCAAAGCTTCTCCTTATATTCAGGAAGCAGACCACATTCCTTAAGACAGCTACCCAGCTGCTTGTGGTAGATCGCACCATGGAGTTGATTGCCAGTCTCATGGGGATTAACTACCACCAGCTGCCCAGCCACTCAACCAGGGCCAGCCAAGTTGACACACAAACTGAACTACCACACTGGGCAATCCAATTCTGTAAAGATATACTGCCTCGGAAACCCAATGGGAGTAGCTATGAGTAATCGACTTGAGGGCAGTGGGTTTATGACTAATGATACTGAGAATCATTTCACGAATTATTGACCATTTGCATATCTTCTTTGAAGAAATGTCTATACAGGTCCTTTGCATATTTTTTATTGGACTGTTTATCTTTTTATTATTGAGTGGTAAATGTCCTTTATATATTCCAGATACAGGTCCTGTATCACATATATGATTTGCAAACATTTTCTCTCATTGTATATGTTGCATTTTCACTTTCTTGGCAATATTGTCTGCAACACAAATATTTTTAATTTTCATGAAATCTATCTATTTTTTTCTTTTTTACTTGTGCTTTTCATATAGTATCTAAGAAGGATTTGCCTAATCCAAAGTCACAAAGATTTATTTGTATGTCTTCTTCTAAGAAGTTTATTGTTTTAGCTCTTACATTCATGCCTTTGAGTAATAGTTTCAAAGTTTGAGTTAATTTTTGTGTGTGATGTTAAGCAGGTGTTCACATTCTTTTGTATGTGGATATTCAATTGTCCCAGCACCATTTGTTAAAAAGACTAGAGATATTTTAAAATATATATATATAAATAAGATCACAGCACTCTCTGATTAAAACCTTTCATTACTTTCCATCTCACTTAGAATAAAATCCAGATTCCTCTGCCTCTCTCTCTACTCTCCCAATTTCACACCACTCTCCCAATTGCTCACTGTGCTCCAGGCTCTATGATCTTTTATTTCACAGAATAAGTCTAGCTTGCCTTTACTTTGCTTCCTCATTATTGCTCATCTCCTACTTTAAATGTTATGTGCTCAGAGATGGCTTTTCTGGAGTATTCTTCTAACATAGGTTCTCCTCCCCATCCTACTTATTTATCATTCTCACTTATAACCTTAATATATGTAACATTCTTTTTATAACCTTAATGATTGGTATTTATTTCACTTCTTTATTTGTTTACTTTTTCACTTTGAGTTATACTTCTTTATGTCTGCCATAATGTTTTGCATGTAGCATATATTCAAATCAGTTATGTCCGTAGGAACTAGAATTTCCAATTAGAAGGGCTTTAGAAATCATCTAGTCAACCACTCACTCTTCATAGACGCAAAAATCAGCTCCTAAAGAGTGATGTGGGAGCTCTGGTAGCCTAGTGGCTAAGTCACTTGCCTGCTAACCAGACGGCTGGCGGTTCAAACCCACCAGCCACTCCTCGGAAGGAAGGTTGGGCAATCCTACTTCCGTAGTGATACTGCCTCGGAAACCCAAGGAGGGGTCGCTATGAGTCGGGGCCGACTCGAAGGCACGTAACAACAACAACAACAAAGAGTGATGTACTTGGCATCAGGAAGAGTACATAGACCTCATTCTGAGAGTTCTCGTTTCCACGACAGCTTATTTTTCATTTATAACACTGATCTGCCTAACTCCAATGTCATGCTTTCTTGCAAAATTACTAAACGAAGCGCTTTTTTTGGGGGTAATTTCTTATAGAAATGTCATCATTTTTCTAAGCCTTCTTCCTAAAATTCCATATCAAATGGATAGATGGAACACTGTGAGGAAGGCTGGAAGTCACACTGCACAACGGTACTATCTCAGTTCTATCCTTTTTCCCTTCTATATCTCTGTTCCTCTTTCACCTAGCTGCACTCTCCTTTCTTTTGCATCAGCCACCTTTGTTCTCTCTACGCCCAGCGGCTCCGCCCCCTTCAGGGCCGATCTGCCCTCCTCCAAGATGGCAGCGAGAGCTTCTCGTCTAGGGGAAGTGAGCTCACGTACTCCGGAAGGGAAGGCGGGGAGGGAACAGGCGGGTGGGTGACCCGCTGTGGAGCTGTGGGTGGGGCGGCGGCTCGGGCAGTGGACCTAGCTGTTGGATCTGGAGATAGGCTAAGAACTCGCCGGCTCCTGGGAACCCAGTCGAGGACCCAGGGCCAGACGTTGGAGGAAATCGCCCCTAGCGGCTTGCCTGTAGTCCAAGGGAAGGCGACACTTGAGAGCGGGCGTCCTGCCTTGGGCGGCCTCCTTCCCCGATCCTCCTGCTGGGCTGCACACGGGCGGCCCCGGTCTGTCTCGCGGGCTGCGGCGGGAACGGTCGTGCGGGCTGGATGGGACCCTCCCCTTGAGAACCGGCTCGAGGAGAGGAAGAGGGAGCGCGGTGGGTCAGTCTCTTAGCCTAGAGGTCAGGCCGAGAGCCCCTGTCCCTGATCCTCCGTCCTTCGCCCAGCCCTACAGTGTCCTCGACCTCCCCACGCTGCTGCTTCTTTGAGTATGTTAGCAAGCCCTCTTGCACGGTAATTTACCTTCCTTGCTTTTGCTGGGAGGGAGATGGATATTTAGAGGGTATCTGTCCTCATCTCTATCTTTTGCCCTCCTAAAAGTTTTTCTTCTTTCAGAATGCGTATCTCTCCTCCGTAGACCATTTGATGGTTCTCACTCCAGTCTTACTTTCTGGTTTAGCAAGTGGGATTACATTCATATCACACCTTAAAAAAAAAAATTACCGCCTAGAAAACTACCCCACAGAATTGTTCTCTCCCACCCAAGAAGGGCCGGTAGACTTTGGAGTTAAGATGCAGGGGGGAGAATCATTGTCAACCATGAAAGTCTCAGAGAGCGAAGGAAGGCTGGATGCCCTGGTCGCAGCGGTGACCCCGAACAAGAACAGCAGCAACAGCAGCTGTGGTGGTGGAATCAGCAGCAGTAGCAGCAGCAGTAGCCGCGGTGGCAGTGCAAAAGGCTGGCAGTACAGGTATGGCCCTTTCTTCAGGGTGATTTCCCGGGTTGGACGTGGGGGTGAGTTACGCTGGAGTCTGCATTGTTGAAGGGTAAAGTTTATCCACTGACTTCCAGAAGCAACTGATACATCTCCTTTGGACCTGGGACCTCATCTCTTTTTAGCAAGATGTAATTAATTCATTCAACAGGTATTTATTGAGGGCAGTTTGGAGAACAGAAATGTATCCTTGAACTGGCTTGACAAGACTCCTCCCTCTGATTTAATTCTGGATTCACTTCTGTTTCTGCCTGTGTTGTAATTTGTTTACAAGCCTGCCTTCTCTACTGTGAGGGCAAGAACTGTTTTAAGTCAGTCCTCTTCGGAGACTAGCAGACAGTAGGTGCTAAGAACATAACTTGTTGATAATTGACTGGAATAATTGAATCAGAAGATTCTTGCCATCAGGGTGTTTTCGATTCAGAAGGGGAGATGTACATAAATAATTTGAATATTAGGATAAAGGTGCAGATGCCGGTACATAGTCCAAACCTGGGAGGCTAGAATGTTTCAGTTTGAGTTGATCTGGCCACTTAACTGCTCCTTGTCTTGAAGAGAGATTTTACATTTGTTAAGTCTATTAATATACATGGAAGACTTTAGGAAAAGAGAGTTCTGAAAGAGCAATGATAGTTTTGTTTTTATTTTGGTTTTTGATACTTAGCATATGGGGCAATGACCATCCAGAAACAATAATGGGTGAAATCAGGGTACCCTGTGGTATTGGAACTAAAGGGGTGGCTTCTTAAGTTTTGGTGAATGGATTGTACATATGTGTAACTTTATAGTCTTTTTTAGCCCATGTGCTGGTTATACTTGTGAAATTTGTGGGAAACTTGAAAGGGTTTAAAACCAAGATTTTATGAAAGATATAAAACTATATACTTATCATTTGTAATATGTGTATTTGTGAAGTATATGTGACTATATTAGTATACAAAAATGCAGTGTAGAAGATTATAACTTTTTATTGATAAATAACTATAGAACAGGAAAACTGTAGTTAGTGTGAGATATCTAGCCTCACTTTTGGAATCAGTATGATGCTTTTTTGTGTGGTTTAACATGAATTATATAAAATTATTAATTACTTGACAGGGATTTTTTGATATGATTTAGGGAAGCAAGATAAACTAATATTCCAGCTAGTCAGAGGGCAAGTCTCCTGACATCCTCAACTCTTTGAAACCCGGTCTCAATTGAACTGAAAAGTGAAACAGGTTTTTAAGCACTGTTATAAAACCATGCACTTTACTCCTGTACTTTCACACGGAACTTATTGTCCCTTATTTAGGGTGCTTTTTAATGCTTATATAACTTTCAAACCCAAATCTACTGGAAGCACAAATGAAGAAGAAGGTTATTAGGGGAAGTGTAACAGAGGAAATGGCCACTGACAATGTGGGGACATCCAAAGAAGATTTGAAAAATTAAGATGCAAACTCAGCTATTTCACTTCCTAGTTTAGTAGTCATAGTCATAATGACCTAAAGTCACCCAGGAAAGAGTAAGTTACATCTAGCATACTCTATTTAAGAAGACTGAGAACTATATGATACAGTGGTGAATGATTTCAAAGAAAACAGTTAATTTTTTTTTTTTTTTTTAATAAAGGTGCTTAAAAGGAAAAACTTAAGTATCTGGAAAATTTAGTTGTGAGGAACTTTCCTCCAAGGACACAAATAAATAAGGCATTACTGCATTTACATCTTGACATGTATTTTGATTTTAATGTGGCTTTCCTGTCCAAGGCTGATCCTTCACCCTAGTTGTCAATCTAAATTATTCTTTTGGCCTCTGCTGCTGCTGCTCACTGCCATCAAGTCGATTCTGACTCATAGTGACCCCTCTTTGGGTGTCTGAGGTGGTAAATCTTTACGGAAGTAGATTGCCCAGTCTCCCTTTCACAGAATGGTTGCTGGGTTTGAACTGCCAACCTTCTGGTTAGCAGTGAAATCCCTTAGGTGCTAAGCCACCAGAGAACCTTTTTGCCCTCTAGGATGTTGATTAAGCCATCTTCCCCTTTTCTTGTATTACTCTCTCTTCCCTGGCTCCTTCCCTTCAGTCTCAGCCCCTAGATTTGAGAACAAAACAGTAACAACTATAAAAGCCAATCAAATCAATCCTTTCCTCTTGAAAGCCATTTAAACTCACTGCCTCCATTTTGTTCAACACACACCATCCCAGTTGCTGTTGTCAGTTCGGACTTCTGGCAACCCTGTGTCGGATAGAACTCTGCCCCATTGGGTTTTCAATCAGAAGTAGATCACCAGGCCTTCAAGGTACTTCTTGGTGGATTTGACTCCAACCTTCTGGTTAGTAGCTGAGTGTTTTAACTTTTTGTACCACTTAGGAATTCCTCCGTTTTCTTATCCTGTATTTACCTCTCAAGCCACGACATCTGGCTTCTGTCCTTAACCAAGGCTGTGAGTGACCATTTCTAAATAATGTTTTCAGATTCTTGTTTCAGTTGATTTCTCTGTAAGTATATGGCCTTATAATTCTATACTTGGTTTTTTTTTTTTTTTATTTTTTTAAGAAACTCCTTTATACTCTGCCGTTTTCTTTTATGCCACATGGTTTCTATTTGTTATCTCACTATCTTCTTTGGCGTACGCTGTAGACTAGAGTTAGGCAACTCTTCCTGGAGCTCCAGAGCCATCTAGCCAGCTGCCTACCTGAATATTTCTATTAGATGTCTCATCAGCACCTTCAGCTCTAATACCTAATGTAATTTGCTACCATCCCATTTTTAAAATAGAGATTTCAGGTTACATCATATGGAGAGGTTGAACTTTAGTAAAGACCCTGTGTTTCTGATACTGGGTTTTGGCTTTGCAGACTTAAAAATTTAACCATATTGATTACTTAAAATCACAGTCAATTAATCAGTATTCATCAGTTTAAGAAATGAGTTCCATATGTCCCAGTATACATTATGCTCAGTTCTGTGAGGCCTGGAAAGGGGCATCTGTGAAAATTTCTTGAAAAGATTTCTCTCTGTGGTAGGGTAAGTTCCCGAAGAATGGTTGATTTTAAATGCTCTAGGATTTGAGAAAGGAGCCCTGGTTATACAGTGGTTGACTGTTCAAACCCACTTGCCCACTCTGCAGGAGAAAGATGTGGCAGTCTGCTTCCATAAAGATTAGAGCTTTAGGAACCCGATGGGGCAGTTCTATTACTGTTGTCCATACAGGGTTGCTATGAGTCAGAAAGTGGTGCTGTTAGTAATTATACGGGACAACAGGCATAAATCTGGATTGCCCAGACCAACTGAGACATATAGTCAGAATCACTGGAGAGTCAGAAGGGACTTTGAAGAATGGATGAGCTTCATTCTAAGGGAGTGTTGTGCAGCCTGGCTGGACAGATGAAAAAAGTGTGGAAGCAACATTCTACATTGCCTAAGAAAAGATCTTCTTGGTTAGAGTTACAGGAAGGTAGATCTGGGCAGGATCTGTTGCAAAATTTCAACTAGAAAATAACATATTCTAAAGTGGTATTTCAGGATGATCATCCTAGCAGCATTGTATAGCAATGTTGTTTTTGTCTATTTTCACATAATTTGAATCATGTTACAGATAATCTTTTCTTATAAATTGTGATTTGGGTGAAAGTTTACAGAGCAAATTCATTTTCTGTTTAACAGTTCATATACGTTTGTTTCATGACATTGATTGCAAACCTCACAGTGTAACAGTTCTCTTCTCACTTCCTCCCTGTGGTTACCTTTTGCCTGTGTGCTTCTTCCTTGTGCATTCCTGCCCTCTCAGCTCTCTCCGTGTGCAAATGCTTCCCTTCTAATCTCCCAAGATTGATCTAAGGAGTGTATCTACCTGGTGTAAGTGTTCACCTTGTAGGCTTGTCTATTGTTTGGCTGAAAGCCAAGGAAGTGAGTTCAATTCCAGGCCTGAAGGATGATTAGGGGCCATAGTCTCCGAGGTTTTATCAGTCTTTATCAGACCAGTAAGCCTGGTCTTTTGTGTAATGTTGAGTTTTGTTCCACTCTATCCAGGATCTTCTATTTTGATCCCTTTCTGAGTGGTTGGCATGATTGACATTGGTAGTTGGGCATTATCTGGTTCTTCTGGTCCCAGGATCACATAGGCTGAGGTTTGCCTGGTCCCCTAATCCCTTGAACTAATTATTTCCATGCGTCTTTGATTTTTTTCATTCTTCTTTGCTTCAGACGAGGAGAGACCAGTTGTTGCATCTTTGATAGCCACTCACAAGCTTTTAAGACCCCAGTCCCTGTTCTCCAAAATAGAATGTAGAACGATGTTTTTGTATAGTATATACATATATAGTTATGCCAGTTGACCTTGTTATCCCGTGACCGTGGTCCTGAGCCCGTGGGCCCATCAGCTGACTCCCTCAAGGTGTTTAGCTGTGGCTAAGAAGTTATCCTTCACGATAAATGGAGAAAAGATTGACATTGTCAAAGACTTCACATTGCTTGGTCCTACAATTGACGCCAGTGGAAGCAGCAGTCAGGTCATCAGATGACGTGTAGCACTGGGCAAGTTGGCTCCAAAAGACCTCTTTCAAGTGCTGAGGAGCAAAGATGTCTCCTTGAGGACTAAGGTGTGCCTGACACAAGCAATGTTATTTTCATTCACCTCACATGCATGTGAGAGCTGGACAATGAGTAAGGAAGATCGAAGAAGAATTGATGCTTTTGAGTTGTGGTGCTGGTGAAGAATGCTGAAAGTACCATGGACTGCTAAAAGAACTAAGAAATCCGTCCTGGAGGAAGTGCAGCCAGAATGCTCCTTGGAAGTGAGAATGGCCAGACTTCGTCTCACCTATTTTGGTCATGTTCTCAGAAGGGACC